TACGTACGTACTTCTACTACTACTACGTACTCGTACGTACCGTACTACTCGTACTTCTACTTCTCGTCGTCTCTCTCGTACTCTTCGTCTCTCTACTCTACTCTCTCTCTCTCTCTCTCTCTCTCTCTCTCTCTCTCTCTCTCTCTCTCTCTCTCTCTCTCTCTCTCTCTCTCTCTCTCTCTCTCTCTCTCTCTCTCTCTCTCTCTCTCTCTCTCTCTCTCTCTCTCTCTCTCTCTCTCTCTCTCTCTCTCTCTCTCTCTCTCTCTCTCTCTCTCTCTCTCTCTCTCTCTCTCTCTCTCTCTCTCTCTCTCTCTCTCTCTCTCTCTCTCTCGCCCTCGCTCGCTCTGTCACTCTTCATTCACCCTCTCATCCCCCATGACGCGGAAGCGTACATTACTGACATTACTAATGCACCTGCAACTTTAGCCTAATCTCGGTTAGCAAGCCGACAGTGGCGCGCCCTGATGGCAATTTTTCATCGTGTCTTTCGTAGTGGTGCTTCCTTCTGTGCAGTATGCAGTCAGCGATGAGCTGTTGTTATCCACCGTCATATCCTAGCTGTTACGTTAAGGCAAGTTTTATGCTAGGCCTAATGCAATGCCGTTTCCATTAATTCTGTGCATGTTATACCAATTCTTTCATCAATAATATTCCGTTTGTATTATCCTGAATGCACACTATAATATGTTATGCTAATGATATCCACTTTCGCATCCGAGCTGATATTTTTGGGTAAAAGTTTCATAATTGCACCAACATTGTATCACAAGTATCCTATTATTTTATTATCAAGGTATTACTTCGTCATGTGTGTATTATCTCTGCCTTCATCTGTTAATATTAGCCCAATTGTATCATACGTAACCTAAGATGTTATTCAAAATGTTTTCCCTTTTTTGCTAATTGTGCCTTCCATCACTTTACTGATATTTAGATGTTTGTCAAAGCTTTTTATTATCCTTGCTGTATATGTAAGTAAATAAAATAATGATAAGCGTAATACAAACTTTCGATTATCTCTACTCGTGCCCTATATTATATATATGTAATTATATCAGGAGTGGATAATAGATAATTATCTATTAATAGTGAATCTCTATTATAGAGATCTCTAGAGTCTAGATCTCTATAATAGAGATTCTATTATTACTCTGATTATAATATACTATTCAACTAATTACCTCTGTCAATCTTGTCTTGCAGATGGAAGCACCATATTATGTTCATAGACTCATAGACTCCCGGCGATAGTGTCGAACAATTTTGAATTTAAATATGTCATTCCACTGATCAACCAAACAAGATTTGTTGCATTTATTCACGCAGAAATCTGAAGAATAAAAGTTTGTTATTTATTTACGACGTAAAAGGTGAATGCGGTATATTTATAGCAATAACCTATCAATTATCAGTTATACTTCAATTTACCAAGCTACTTATTCTTCTAACTAGTAATAGTATAAGTAGTTGGTATAACTAGCATATTATAACTAGTATAACTATATAGTATATTATTTATATGCTTCTTTTATAAAGATTTGTTCCAAATGTATATTATGACCTGTATGTTTATAACCCTTCCAGCATATGCTTAAAAGCTAAGCACCTATTATTAACGGGTATTTGTTCAAATACGTCTTCTTCCTTCTTCGACTGTCTGGACGCGTACTCAGGCAGGTCGAGTATTGTTTTAAACTTACTCTCATCGTGCCCTTCTGCCCTCTTTTAAATAATTTTAGCCGTTAGGGATAAGTGACAAAATGTGTGCTATACCGTGATAGACCTTCATTGCTAATATGCGCGCCTATCGATCACAGTAAATTCTCGTGGACGTTGGTCACGTGGTTGGCTGATACGGTGAACAGGTATAGACAGTTACGTAAGATTAGTTTTGAGTGGGTGTACGTGTTCATATGATATAAACTAGCGATTGTGATGCTACGCTGTACATTATGAAGCGCGCGATTGCAGTTGCGCGGGAACTGACTCAGAACGTTCTAACATTGTCTGATCAAGTTCAGAATACCTGCAGGTTGGTTAGATTCAGTTATATGTGTTCCGCGAGGCATATGTTCACGTTAAAGACTCAAGAAAGGCGCAAGAAAGGTAAGCGATCAGTTAAATCGCTCAATATTAACGGCTACTGTGCGAACGATTTCTTCTTGCCCTCTATAGATCTTCATGTTTATTGATGTTTACTAGTGACGCATATTGTAGCAAGTATTGTCTACATTTACTTATATAAATATTTTGGGTATATATGTGAAGAGTGAGAGCAGAACTCGTGAGATTAGCACAAATGCTAACCTATGTACGGAATAACGCGGGAGCTCATGATCATAATTTGTATCCCTCTTCAAACGGGTTTGTGTGCCTCGTCTGTGCACACGCGCACACGAGGAGGCACCTGTAAACTTGCCAAATCAAATATTTTTAGCAACAATTAGACTGTGAGGGCACGACAGTAGGTATATATGTGTATGTATATATATATATATATATATATATATATATTATATATATATCATATATGTGTGTGTGTGTGTGTCACTGTGTGTGTGTGGGTGCGTGCGTGTGTGTGTGTGCGTGCGTGCGTGCGTATGTGTGTGTGTGGGTGCGTGCGTGCGTGCATGTATACATGTATGTGTGCGTGTGCGTGCGTGTCGCTCAATACTGACATCAGGTCAGTCACTGTCGTCGCTGCTATATCACGTTGAAAACGCACGGCGCGCAGAGCTAAATTATGCATGGTAACTTCGCCATAAACATAAAATACTCATAACTAGATGGAACTCCTACTGTTCGTTGTGATAGAGAACCAGAACGTTGTGAGGCAATAAATATTTCATTTTAACCATAATAATAACCATAATCCCCGAAATAGAAATCGATAAAATCTCACGAGAAGTAGGCCTACTAGTTAGTTAGACGCGCCAGAAACACGGTGACTACATAGCTGTAAAGGGCGTATAGCCTGCGCAAATTTCCATGTGTAGGGGTGGCAAAATTTCGCTTGCCTGAATGAATAACCTGGTCCTATTATTGTTACAATTATTTTATGGTCATTAATCTTTATTACGCTTATTATATCATATTACTTCACAATCTCCGGGGGGCGAGATACCCATCCACCCACTGGTGACTGCACAACATGTCTCCCGGCGTTGAATAGAGACGATATATTGCATGTGAGAGCACCAGCCCTACGCAAGTTGCAGCGCGTTTGATTGTTTACATTGCCGAGCTCATATCAGACACGCGTCAAGGTTACACAAGGTGAGACGATGGCGCTCAGTGGCAACTTCCGTAAATACGAAATCGAAGCGCACACACGAAACGTTTCCATCGCTATAGACAGACTTTTCCTAATCTCTTCTTCCAGTGATGAGATATTGCGCTTGTCAATACATTACGGAGACACAAACCACGCACTATTATATACATATATAGTGCACTTGACTGTAAACGCGTGTACTTGATCTGGTATTTTGGCTGCTGCAACGTCCGTCACTTTAGTGTTTGCGTACTGTATTGGCGAATATATAGCCTACCTGTAAAACCGGTAATATATATATATATATATATATATATATATATATATTATATGAGACATACCCTACTCAAAAAGAATGACTGCGAGTTCTACAAGTTCAGTGCATCGCAGCGCCACGCGGAGGATATCCATGCGGAATAAAAAGCAGACTCGTTTGTCACACCTGTTCCAGAAACGCGTACCCGTCGCGCACTCGGTGACGGGTATTAGTAATGGGGGAGGGGGCGACGGGCGCATCGCTCCCTGAGAGCGCAGACGCCCGCGGGCCCGTGACCCAGAAACTGGTCTCGCCGCTTTCACCGGAAACAGACGGATAAAGCACCGAGTCATTTTTTCGGCTGCCAGCGAACGGCAGCGAGCGAGCGAGTGTCTGCGCACGCGAAAGGCCAAAGAACTCGGCAACGACGGCGACGCGTGTGCGCATGCGTGGGCTTACGTGTATGTAACGTGCGAAAGGGTTAACATATAGTGACTCGGCTTCGGGGAAGAATCGCCAAGCAGGTGAGGGACGCCGAAGAGCAAAGGTTAGATCTGCATTGATACATAGCTCTTATAATCTATCATAATTAAGCGTATCTATCATATTCATTATTATTACAAAGAGTGTGCACTTTTTTCGCGTTTGCTCATCCGAAGACTTTGTACGTTGTCGGAAATTAATGGTAAGAGGTTCTCTCGCGCGAAATAGGAATGCCAATGGGAACGACTGTACCCATAACTGCAAAATAACGCCCAAAGAACTGGGTCTATACAACAGGATGAGGACGTAGCAAGTCTCTCTCTTCTCTCTACGCTTCGCCGTGATGACAGTGGTAAACACCAAATGAACGGAGTGTATAGGCCTACGTAGTCGCATCAGATGCCACGAGTTTCCCAAAATCGTAGCAGATCGACCAACACGGCGTACGAACTGGGATGCGTTAGAGAGTACGGTAGAGAGTGCGGTAGAGAGTTTGGATGTGTTTAGAGAGTACGGTAGAAAGTTTCGATGCGTTAGAGAGTACGATAGAGAGTGCGGTAGAGAGTTTGGATGGGTTTAGAGAGTACGGTAGAGAGTTTGGATGGGTTTAGAGAGTACGGTAGAGAGTTTGGATGGGTTTAGAGAGTACGGTAGAGAGTTT